TAGTTAATCATTTTGATACAAACGCAGCACTGAATTGGTTTAGATTAAAAGCAAATAAAGTTATTAACAAAGAGAGGTTTTAAGTGAGTTCATGTACAGGGTGGTCACTTGGTCAGCTCATGCCAAGGTCCCAGACCTCACTGAACACTGACAGATACATCACTAGAGACTGCTCTGGCTTATATCTGCGTTTGTATTGTTAAGGATAATAGTAGATTTGTAAGACTGTTTGAGTAGACTTATGAGTAGTGTGGGCTGGTGCATGTATTGATTTGACTTATGACCTCTGTAGTCCATGGTATAAGGTTATATTGAGTGTTTGCCTTGTAAACATCTGCAATTGTGTAACTCAGCAAACAGAGGAAAAAACATTGATTCTGGTAACATTCTTATCCTGCACACAAGCAGGGGAGGCCCGTGACTATAGGCCGACTCAGCTGTCGCCTAGGGCGCAGCCTTCAAAGGGGCGCCCGCTGATAACATCACACCATTGACGGCCGTGCAGGCGGGGGCACTGATCACGCGTTCCGCCTGGGGCGCCAGCTGCCGCAGCCCACCTCAGGCTGCCCTGCACACAAGATGGCCTGTCCAGGGCACTGTGTAATATCCAAGGACAAAGAGACCTCCTTAATTGCATTTGTCATTCTGTCTAGAAAGGGGAAGCCTGTGCATGAATGTATCTCATCAGTTTTGATTCTGGGGTGAAAGTGATAAAAAAAAATCCCTGAGAAGGAGAAAATTGGATCTTTGTGCTGTCTAGAGTCCGAAGGGCAAAGATTCCTAAAACCTATAGTGCTTTCCAGCAATAGATCTCAATGTGCTATACCAAAGAGGAAACATTAATTCCATTTTACAGAGGAAAAAACGGAGGCATGCAGAGATGAAACGACATCTCTACAATCACTCAGCAGCCCACTGACAGAATCAGCAGTGGAACGTAGCTCTTCTGAGCAGATGCTCTAATGCTGATTCTCTAGGCCACACTGCAGTTATGGGCATAGCCTGCTTAGAGGTGTTTGATTCAGCTTATAAGTTCTTGAACAACAAATAACAAAAACAAAACGGTAATGGGGTCTCAGAGGAAATATACAAAGAAAATAACCCACATTGCCTAGAGTAGCTTTTTTTTTCCTTCCAGAAAAACAATTTTCAAATTATATCACTTGCAACTATGTGGCTGGCTGCTTTGTGTTCCTGTCCCTAAGTAACACTGTGGTGAAATTATCTACTAGCTAGGTCCACATGTTTAAGAATTAAACCTGATTTTAACTCCTCTAGTCAAATTCTGAACTGTCATTAACTTTTGACTTCTGAAAATAAGCCATTTCCACCAAACTGGGCTCAGGCACACTGCAGTTTCATGTCCTCCTTACAAGCACTGTGTAAGGTAAATGCTCATCTTCCCATCCCAGAGACATCTCGGCCCTTGAGTGAAGTGGCATGACAGAACAAGCATTGAAAATACAGCTTCTGATAAGCTGTTACCTGCTTGCTGTAATGGCTCACCCTGTAGCAGGGCCTCCTTCACAGAGAAGGCACCCAAATTTTGTTTTAAATTGAGAGATGGAAGGGGTGAGAATAGTGGGAAATGACTGAAAGAGAATGGGTCTGGGAGCCTCACAGGAAAGAGCAGCAGCAGGTCTTATGGAGAGGATAGCAAATGGTGTGAAATTAGTCATGTGCAGTGCCCTGAAAGGCCAGAAAATTATCTAGGGACAATAAAGCAGAGGAGGGGAAAAAAGGAAGGCCCATTCTTTGTTGACACAGCTGAAGGATCCTCACTGCTAAAAAGAGCATTTCAAAGAGTTAAATAGCCATGCATTCAGGGAACTCAAAAGGAGGTCTTTCCCATGTACTGCAAGTTTCTGCCCTCTACTGACATTCTTGAAAATTGTTAACAATTCTGTTGTAAGGTTCTGTTATTCTCTCTCCCTCTCTCTCACAAAATACAGTAAAGGCAGGCAATATTCAAAGGCTGAACGTGTTGGATAACTGTTTACAGAGAAAATTCTTAGTGTGTGACACGAGGTCAAATCACAAATGACATTTGCTATTGACTTTTGCAATACTTTCCAGACATCTGTCCAACGTTACAAGGATTAGAATGAAACACCTTCCCACACAGTCACTACTTGCTGCTCACTGGCTAGCAGACACAGGAAAAGAGAGAAACAGGTGAAAGCAATAAATCATATTCTCTCCACCTCTTTGACTGCATATTTTAAAAATATGCATCTGTCTGTACATCCATCTGTGAGTCTGTATGTTCAAGAACTCCTCCTAAATGGTAAGAATTAGAACCACCAAATTTGGTAGGGAGCTTTCTCTTATCATAACTTAAAGCAAGGTCAGGGTTTGGTTGTGCCAGAACAATGCCTGGTATTTGTTTCTCATAAAATGGAAAAAGAGGAGTCTAGTAGGAGGGACAGTTATATTGTAGAATGACCACAGCAGATCAGCAAGGGGACAGAGATGATAACCGGGACAGCTATTATCCCACTGGGCTAGCAGGAGGCAGGGATGGAGAAAGTGACAACTATTTCTTCCATATATTTCAGAGAGTTTGTGCGTTGGTCTGCCTGTCCCCTAGCCAGTTGACCCCTCCCCTAGTTGTGCCCACTGCAGCAGCAACATACAGACACTTCTCACCTAGTCCTAAGATGCTGCAGTAAGAGAGGGTTATCTTCTGTCCTCAAGGCAGCCAGAATACTGAACCCTTCACCCCCAAGCCCCAGCCCAGAATAATGATTTAAATGAAGAAAAACAAAACTTATTTAAGAATCTGAGCAACACCACGTAAATCTTCCAGTTTTGCTATATATTCTTGAGCCCATTACACACAAGTAGATTACTTCTGCAAAAGATGTCACTCAGTTTTGGCTTGACTAAGCAGGGCAATTCACAAGCAATTCAGAAATTGATAATCATATTTGATAGTGGTTCTGCTATTTAAAGTCTCTGGAAATCAATCATATTTATCATGACTAAGGACATGTTTTTAGAGATGCAAAATATACTTTTTAAATGGTATTTTTCAGTGGTTCATTCAAATTTACATCAATATTACAGTGAATGCTGAAAGTTGTGATTGCCATAAAATCATGATTTTCTTACAACCTTATTTGAAGCTCTTCATATTCTTATCAGCTCTGTTCTGTTACTTCCTTTTCATTTTTTTTTAATGCACAGTGCTTTCTAATGTTAGTCCAAAGCAACATTATAGGCAGTATATCACCTCCTGCTCTCCTACTTTATATGCTCTAGTATAATCCTTTGTATTTCTTTGCGTTGCTCCTCTGCCTTGTGATCTGTTCACCTCTGGCATTTTGAAAAAAAATTTGGAGGCACAATTAATTAGATTAATGTTTTAAAATTAATTAGACCCAAGCATACAGTTCAGATCCAAATCTGCATATGATAGAGGCAGAGAGATTCTGATCTGGTTTTGAATTAGCTTGCTTTAGAGGTAAAGGTAGTTGTGAAGTCCAGGCCATCATCTGAAACTTTGAAAGTTCAGAGCTGTTCATATCTACGAGTTCAGTTTGGGTCCCCATCTTCTTCATTCTCATCTTTTCACTTTCTTCCAGTCCAGATTCTAAATGGCAGAACGAAAAATACCATAAAACTCCAACAGCAGGCCGGGTGAGGGAGGGGAAAGGATCAGTCTCACACGGGCTCAGGTGATTTAAAAAGTCCCAGGGGTGGCTGTGCAGTGGGACTAATGCGAGCTTCCTGCCTGCCTTTGTCCTATACCACTCTCAGAAGCAGTCATCACCGTCCCTGTGGCCCCTCTGTAGGCCACCCTGTGCACCAATGCTGCAGTTCCCATCGGCCAGGAAGTGCAGAGGAAGTATCTATAGGCAGCAGTGCACCCAGCCGTTCAGGGCCCTCTCCCCAAAGCAGCTACCTGTCACTTTTGGGAGCCACTTCAGAAAAACACCAATCCTGATCCCTCCTGCACCCCAACCTCCTGTCCTAGCCTACAGCCCCCACCCTGCATCCAACTCCCTCCCAAGGCCTGCAACATGCACTGTGTCCTACACCCCAAATCCCTTCCCCAGCCTGGTGAAAGTGAATTGGGGAGAGGGGACGAGGATGAAGCAAGTAGGGGGCAGGGTTTCAGAAAAGGAGTAGGACAGGGATGTGATCTCAGGAAGGACAGTGGCAAGTGACTTTGGGTTTGTGTAATTAAGATAGTTGGCAACCCTACGAGCCAGGAATGTAGAAGACATAGCTATGCCAGAAGAGTGTACCCAGCAGGGCAGCCAGAAGCTCACTGGGCAGCAGCCAGCACAGACACAGCACCATCCAAATGTCAGATAGACCATTTCCACATGGGCATGGCTTACATGTGCATGGGGCCCACTGACTCTTCTGCCCTGGGACCCAACAGAAAGTGTTTTCTCATAAGAGATCTCGCAAGCTGAGGAGGTGGGTGTGGCTCATGCCATAGAAATGAAGAGCTCCCACTGCCACTACTAGGAGAAAGGTGGAGGGCAAAATATTGCTTTTTTGAATGTGTATGCTAAACAAAATGTCCTACAGTATTCTAGCTGATGTTGATCACACTTTCAACCATCTTCTCACTCTGGAGAACTCCTGTCAGTATGCCTTAGCTCATACTTATGAATTTGAGTGTTGCTCTAAGACTACCCCCAGAACTGTGTCAGACAGGGAGTGCTGAACATGAACACAGAGATCTGAGACCACTCATTGACACTTCTCCGTGAATGTTTTTGTATAGCAAAGAAAAGATACAAAGGAGATAAGGCAAGTCCCTGTTAGAGAAATGCTAAAAGGCTCTCCTTTCCTCTCTATAGTAGGAAACTATATACATTTTCATAACTCTGCTCTAAGAAAACATGAGACCGTAAAGTATTCCTGTTGTTTGTGTACAATAATCTCAGTTGTGGAACTAACAGTTATTTTGAAAGCACTGGAAAAAATCCCCGTAAATATTACACTACAGATTTAGATTATAAAGTAACCAATCCTACAAATAAAACTATATATGTATTTATTTATTTGGCACAAAATCCTGTATAAGACTAACAATAATCTGTGTGTTCTACTTTTATATCGTAGAGCACTTTACTATCTGAAGGTGCAAAGAGCCAGCAAGAGTTACACAAGACACATGTAGAATATCATATATCAGTTATTTGGAATAGGCAACACCCTACAATAATTATGGGGCTGACAGATGCTTTGAAAAAGAATTAAGGCAATTTAAGGATTCTAATCTTGCAACACCATCATATGCAATTAACCTTTATTCAGTACCATTGGTTCAATTGGAACAATGTGAAATGGTATAGGATACTCATAGGAAAAGGGGTAACAAGACTGAGTTGCAGTGATTTTGTTTTATATCTCTGTCCAACACCAAAATTAGCATTAGGATAATAAAACAACACACAACAATACTGCTGAAATGCCCAAAAGACAACTCACATACAACTGGATAGTTATATATGTAGGTACAGGATAGACCTCTCTGGTCCAGCACCCTGAGACCGGACCAGTCCCAAAGGCAGGAGTTTGTTGGATAAGGGGAGGTCAATTCTGCCCCTCTGCTGATAAACTCTGGGCTCTCTGTCTGTCAGCAACCAAGCAGGACTCTTCTCTCCACTGCCAAGCTCCTCTGCCCACAGGCTGCTGCCTCTCAGGTCTGCCGGTCAGTCCTGGCTGCTGTTGCTCCACTGTCCTGGGGACACTGGGAACACTGCAGCTCCACTCCCTGGGGCCATAGTGGCTGCCACAGCTATGATGCCCCAGGACTACTGGAGCTCTACTCCCTGGGGCTTCTAGTGCTTTGTGGCTCCAGGCCACTGGGGCTCTGTAGCTCTAGGGCTGCCGAGGATGCCACGGTTCCATTCCCCGGTGCACCCAGACTGCCGTGGTTCCTCTGTCCCATGGTGCAGAGCATGGCTGTAAGCAGCCCTGTAGCCCCAGGCTCTCTGGTCCAGGGGCTCTCTGGTCTAGCAAAATCCATGGTCATGCTGGACCATGGATGTTGCCGGGCTAGAGAGTCCCAGATGAGAGAGGTTCACCCTGTATATCATTAAACACAATTTCTGATGAATATATTTAGGCAAATAGTGGTGTTAAACAGAGGTATCCTTATCTTGCGTTTTCTCTAGAGGGTTATTTGCAGATCTTAAAAATCTATAGCCTTGGTATATATAGAAGATAACTCATCTTTTGGTAGAGGAATGTTGTTTGCATCTAAGAACAGAGAAATATTATTCAACTTCTTGTTTCACAAATAAGGTAACAATCACTGGATACAGAAGATCACCCAAACTGGACTAGGATGCTACAATTTTCTCCTTTGCTGTTTTCACAAACAATTACACTGATCAATCTCAAAGATGTGCGGCTGCTAGTTCTGTCTTGCCTCTTGTGGTTACCACCTGGATTAGGCTGCCTGAGCTGGGCCGGTTTTTGCCTGTGATCCAGTCATAAAAGGTTCTGTTAAAAAGAGAAAGCAAGAGAGAGAGAAAAAGAGATAATATATTATGTGTGTATAGGCAGGGTGTTAAAGTCAGCCTGTGATGTTCACTTCCATCGCTATGTGCTGTCTTTTTAAACATGCATCCTACAATTGTCTCCATGAGAGTAGAGCCTTACAGTCTCACAGAGTCCCACTGAAATCTATAATGCTTTGCACAGGGAGAGCTGATTGAACAACTGGGGCCTAGAATGTAAGTTCTTCAGGGCAAAGAGCAGGCTCTCATCTGTCTACCAAGCACCTATTATCCTGTTAGGCTCTATCTCCATGATCTTCAGACTGTGTGCAGTGTACCTGAAAAGTCTAACGTGCATACATAAGAAAAGTTAACTTTTGGTGGAAGGTAATTGTACCCTGATTCAGCTCTGAAAGCTTGCAAAACATTTCAATTTCTTAGTGGATTTTTTTTTTTAAAGTAACACTTAAGAAGGTTGGAAATGGATGACGGAGGGGGGATTACTAATGATTACCTGTTGTGTTTACTCCCTCTGAGGCATCTGGCATTGGCCACTATTGGAAGACAGGATACTGGGCTAGATGGACCTTTGGTCTCACGAGTATGGCCGTTCTTATGTTCTAGAACCATACTTGGGAGCCCAAAACAAAAAATACTGTTGGCATCCCAATATGTTTTTTAAAAAAAGTATTTTTCCCCTTCAGATTCATCCTTTCACTGAAAATTATGGCTAAAATAAAGTTCACATTTCAAAGCTGTGTCTTTGCTTGTTCTTTCCTCTCTCATATATTTTTTTTCTTTCCTTTTGTATTTTTATTCCCCCCTCCCCCCCACTCCTCTCCTGTTCATTAACCCTATTATCATACTGAGTCTCTGCCAGTTCCTTCCTCTTTCCTTCACTGCCAGTGTCCTCCTTTCCCTGTCCCAAGTTTCCTTCTTGGTTTCATGCTCTATCCTTCCTTAGTGCTCTTTTCTTTCAGCATTTTTCCCTTCCCTAAGCATCCTGTCCTTTCAACCACTCTCTCCCATCATCACTCCACTGAACTACACAAATTGTGGAAATGATTCGTTAGGGCTTGGAAGGGAGCAATGGAACTTGAATTCACCTCTCAGAGGGTTACCTTCTTGCCCATGCTCAATTTGAGCCCTAGTTTGAAGATTTTGCAAAGGTCTTGTGTAGCTGCTGAGGATGGAACAGAGGAACACAATTTCATTCAGAGAATGAAGGCATTTTTTCAGGGCCCATACTCTATCCCCATGCTCTCACTCTGCAGTAGCCATTTTGAATGGTTATATAATCTGATGCAATGCAATGCATTCTGGGGCACAATAAATCCCAGAATGAAGTGCTGGAGCATAAGCTTTCGTGGGCAAAGACCCACTTCATCAGATGCATGTAGTGGAAATTTCCAGTGGCAGGTATAAATATGCAGGCCAGAATCAGGTTGCACCACTCTAATCTAGACACAATCAACTCTGGATTAAACAAAGACTGAATGACTTGCTAACTACAAAAGCAGCTTCTCCTCTCTTGGAATTCATACCTCCAGATCAGCTACTAGAAGTGGGCCTCATCCTCCCTGATTGGATCCACCTTGTCATCTCCAGCCTGATCCTGGCCTGCATATTTATACCTGCCTCTGGAAATTTCCACTACATGCATCTGATGAAGTGGGTCTTTGCCCACGAAAGCTTATGCTCCAACACTTCAGTTAGTCTATAAGGTGCCACAGGACTCCTTGCCGCTTTTGCGGATTCGGACTAACACGGCTACCCCTCTGATACTTGGCACTCTAATCTGACACTCTGAAACATCCATGGTTTGGCATGATTTAATTAGTCAGATGTCTGCTTATCATGGCTGTGGCCAAGTCTTCCATGGTCCTGTAAAGCTTATTTACCATTACCAGCCCTGGTTCTCAGAGTTCTGTGCTGCTGTTTAGCTCTAAAGAGACCAGAAAGCAGTGGAAGTGATGGAAATGTTGCTAAAGCATAAGCATGATTTTTATCTACTTATTTCCTTGTATCAATACAGTACAATTGTATAACATAGACTTATACAGGATGTATTAGTACAGCCTTACATTATTAAGCAGCATTGCAAGAGTTATTTGGTTTATTCACCTCGATGGAAAAGTAAAGAGACCAAATGACTACAATATTGACCTTCTATGGTTCGACAAATTCTCTGATTCAGCACCTGTCAGGTCCCGAGGTTGCCAGTCTAAAGAATTCAGCCTGTATCAAATGGTGTGAGAATTCCTACGGGAGAGGGGGGGTGTTCTCAAGAGGAAGGCTCTGTCATCAGTGCTCTTTGGTGTTTCCCTTAAAGCCTCCTCCTGTGAAAATCTCAGCTTTCATTAAGTAAGTAAATCTTTAGCACCCTACAGGCTCAGCAACCCAGAGGCAAATGAAAAAGAGCATTGTTTTTAAGGTCATCTCAAGATTTTGGAGGTCCTGGCTGACTTATCATCCCCACATGTTCAAAAATCACAATATAGGGAAATAGTCTTTGACTCTACCAGAAAGTGTGAAGAAGCCTCTTACAGAGTGTGATCATTGCTGAATCATAAAACAATTTCAGCACCATCAACTTAAAATCTCTCTCTAAAAAAAGAGGGGGCAGGGGAGAAACTGTTTTACCCACTATGGCTAACATTACTCTAGTGCAGTGGTCTCCAACCTTTTAAAGGATGAGATCACTTTTTGAATTTAAGTGCAATCCAGGATCTACCCCAAACTCAAATACCTGTGGGTATGTCTACACTACCCCCCTAGTTCAAACTAGGGGGGGTAATGTAGTCATACGGAGTTGCAAATGAAGCCCGGGATTTGAATTTCCCGTGCTTCATTTGCATAAAGCCGGCCGGTGCCATTTTTAAATGCCGGCTAGGTCGGACCCCGTGCCGCCTGTAGCCGCGCGGCACGGGGTCCGACCTAGCTGGCATTTAAAAATGGTGCCGGCCAGATTTATGCAAATGAAAACCGGGAAATTCAAATACCGGGCTCGCGGCACGGGGTCCGACCTAGCCGGCATTTAAAAATGGCGCCGGCCGGCTTTATGCAAATGAAGCGCGGGAAATTCAAATCCCGGGCTTCATTTGCAACTCCGTATGACTACATTACCCCCCCCAGTTCGAACTAGGGGGGTAGTGTATACATACCCTGTGTCTCACCTCCTCCGTGCCCCTTCTGCAAGCCCCTGTCCCTGCTCACTCCATCCGACCTAGCCGGCATTTAAAAATGGCGCCGGCCGGCTTTATGCAAATGAAGCGCGGGAAATTCAAATCCCGGGCTTCATTTGCAACTCCGTATGACTACATTACCCCCCCCAGTTCGAACTAGGGGGGTAGTGTATACATACCCTGTGTCTCACCTCCTCCGTGCCCCTTCTGCAAGCCCCTGTCCCTGCTCACTCCATCCTCCCTCCCTCCTCCATTCTCCCTACCCTTCATCAGGCAGGGGCAGAGGGTTGGGGTGCAGGCTTTGGCCTTGGGCTAAGGGATTTGGAGTGTGAGAAGGGCTTTCAGCTGAGCCTGGGGCAGGGGTTGGGTGCAGGAGGGAGTACATGACCATGACAGGGATTCAGGATACTGTTTACCACAGGTGGCTCCTGGATGGTGGTGCAGTGGAGCTAAGGCAAGCTCACCCCTGCCCTGGCCCTGCACCACTCTCAAAAGCAGCCAGAAAACTCCCTCGATCCCAAACCCTGTTGTGCTCCATTCTGTGGAGGCAGAATACAGGGTGGGAGAGGGAAACAGCTCCAAGGCAAAGGGAGGTGCGCAGCAGTGGGGTGAGGGGCAGCTGAAGTGCTGCAGTTGACAGCCTCTTGGACAAACCAGTCAAGATCACCTATCAGAGGCTCCAAGATCTACCAGTAGATCCCGATGGACTGGTTGGTGACCACTGCTCTAGTGGAACAGATTGTGTTCCCTACCCCAAGTTATGTGCTTTGAGCAGCACTCTGCACACATTCTCACACACAGAATGAGTTCTCCTGTTTGTGAGCATCTCTCACAAGAGAAAAGCAGTTTATAAAAACAAAATTAGGAATGTGTTTGTAAAACAAAAGCATCTGGCCAAAGTCTCAGGAGTGCAGGTAAGCACCTGAAAGTACTTACTTTTTTTTAAAACCAACCAGATGTCAAGTTAGCTGGTTGAGCTGCCATATTTCAAGGACCACTCTGCTGTCTAGGACTCCTCTGCCTAAACCCATTTCTGAATGGAACATTCAATTAAAGCACTCCAAAAGGCAAGGAAATACAGAGTCAATACAGACAGGCTGTAGGAACAATGGTGTGATGTACACAGCTTCAGCCTCATTTCCAAGTGTTCTGGCTTCTGCAGGTTTAAAGGGAGAACTACAAAACTAGAGAGATTTGTAATGCCCTTTATGAGGTATGAAACTGGATATGATTCCATTCTTTCCTCCTTTCCCCCACAAAAATACTGCTGTTTTTTAAAAAAAAGATACAAAACTCTATAGCAGGGCCCCACTTCTCTCTCTGTGCCATGCCATCTTTGGCAAGATCTTTAAAGGACCTGTTCTGAATAATGACAAAAACCCAGCACAAATGGGCTGCTGGTTTCCCTCCCCTCAGCTGAGCAAAGAAGGGGATGCTAAGCCTTTAACCCTCAGTATAGAGCAAAGAGATCTGCAGCTCAGCTTGAGTCTTTTCGCTGCTTCATTCAGGTCAGATCCTCCACAGTTCTAGCCAGTGTGGACTTGATCGAGTGATATTATTGAATCAATATGCAGACAACACCACTTTTGCAGGAAGAAAGTGGGCACACAGAAGTAGGGGAAACTATATCTACTTTAACATGATATAAAAGGAGCAGTAAAGGCAAAGACATGTTTCTCTTTACACTTTACCTTTAAACTAGACTGCTTACGTCTGGCACAGCTGTCTGTGATTTAACTTAATTGTCTGCATGTTTTATGAGGCTTGCTTGACTTTAAAGCACTCTGGGCTAAAAGCCTCAGCTGGTGTAAATTAATGCAGGGCCACTGAAGTCAATGGAGTGATGCCAATTTTCACTAGCCCAGGATCTACCCCTATAAGCTTAACCTAACTTCAAGATACAGAAAGTGGGGTGCACACACAAACATCCAAATACAAGTGACAAGCCCACGAATGCATATAGGAGAAAATGGAAAAAAACACACCCAGTTGTTTTGAAAGGAGAGCTAAGAATTGTTTCATCATTGTGCAGATACTCACTCTGCAAGGAATTCTAGGGGTGTCCAGGAGCTGAAATCTGCATCAGGCATTGATTTCCTGTTCATTGGTGTATCCAAGGTAACTCTGCAATTGAGAGAGATAAGCCTTTCATTTGTACATCATGCTTCTGATAAGAGCTATCTGTTCTTCCGCTCTTTGCTTTAATATAGGCTGAGTTTTCAAAACTGGGCACTGAAATCCAGACGATAGATAGATTTCCCTTGAAAGCTGCATGACTCTAACAGCATGTAATGATCAGTCTTAAGTTTTTAAATCTATATAATTTAGTATGATGATATTTGTAAGGTGAGGGGAAATGCCTACATCACTGGTATGTTGCTGAATATCCCACGCTTATAACGCTCTTAAAAATGGATACCAGAAGAAAATCTTTCAAGGCATCTAAGCAATTTTGGAATGGTTGGTAGCCAAGAAATCAGTGTGAACTTGGTATCTGCCTGTTGTGGTACTCTGCAGAGGCAGGTGATAATTATTCAGATATCCTGTATGTTCTCATTCCCTGCCCAAAAAGAAGTGTACTGGAGGAACTTGGACAAAACAAGGGGAGACGCAATGAAATGAGTTCAGACAGCATTTTCTATACTTCTGAGTACTGACAATCTTTAAAGACTGTGTTTGACTTGGACCTGAAAAGGAAATACTCAAACCCTTAGCTAGGTTTCTGAAGGCAATCACAGAAGTTAGATCTTTTCCATATCTATTAGGCCAGTCAGCCACACCTCTGCCAATGCAGGCAGATAGTAGCCTTGTAGCAAGGAAAAGAGAAACTAAAGCTTTTGTATTCACAAGTCTTCAGGGCAATTACTTTAGCTACTCCAGTCACTCTACAAAGAAGAGATTGAATATTATTCACTACAGTAAAGGCTTCATTTCTATGGAAAAAAATCTTAAAGGTAAAAGTTTGGCAAGACATATTTTCCTCTTGGCACTAAATACCACTTGGCATTCAGATGTAAAATTTGACAGACATCAGCTAACTTTGCCCAAACAAAATTAAGGAATAGTGAATGCAAACATTCAAAATCATTTTCAGCTACATATGACTTCCTGCTATTTTTTTTCTTTTTCCACCTGAACTATAACAATTCCATATGTCTAATGTGTCACTTTTAGACACCTATTTAAACATGGCTTAACCATCTATGAAGGTTAAGTCATGGTTTTCTAACATCACTGTAACAATGATTTCTTCTCTTAGCACAGGAAAGAAAAAATATGTAATTTATTGTTATGGCAGTGCCTATAATATACCAGGTATGTTCAATTTAGACCACTGAAGAGGGCTGCATCGTGCCTGCTTTGAGAAACCACAACAACTTTTAAACAATTACATCTGTAGCCAGGGGCAGCCCTAGACTAGCTGCCAGCAACAGGCGCCCTAGGCGAACCATGCAATCAGCCCCCACTTCCAAACCCCTCAATGATATTGTGCCACCATTTGGCGCCCCATTTAACTTGGCGCCCTAGGCGATCACCTAGTTCACCTATACGGACAGGCCGCCCCTGTCTGTAGCAGAGAAGAAAGGAAGCCCATCCATGTGTCACTTAGTTGCAGTTACACTTTAAAATTAAACAATGCAGTAGCACAGGTAGCTCCGTAACGACTTACGGCAGAACAGCAACAGCAGCAGACCCAGATGGCAGGCCACTATTCACACCAGCTAAACTCTGACAAAGCTGATGCACTGCTCCTTTCGCCATGCCATACCCAACCATCCCTAACAAGTAGAAACAAAGCACATTAAAAAAAAAAAAAAAAAAGAAGTTCTCACTGACAAGTGTTGTATAAAAAGAAACAGTGAAAATTTCTATGTTATTTGATTAAAAGCAGGTTTATCTTTCGCTGCAGGAATCTGGTAACAGAATTATTCAAACGGCACATTGCAAAAATTATATGCATTTTTTTAAAAAGGACAAAGGAACTGTGCTGTTTTACAGATCTCAACTGATCTAGCAACATGGAATTTTGTAAGATTATTTGCTTAGTTGTTTCATAAACTCCGTGCCATAGATCTGAACACATTGTTAGAGCACTTCTCTTTATAAAAAACACATAGAAGATAGATCTAGAGATGAGAGAATAACAGATTTTTCACTTCATTGGCAATTTTGAAAAATTGAAGAAATTATTTCAGGTTCAATAAAACATTTTGTTTAATTTTTGACCATTTAAAAAATTTTGAATGTTTAAAACAAAATTAAATGTTGTGGGGAAAAAAAGCTGTTTCAAAAAATCTGAATGTTCTTTTTAGGAAATGTTGAAATTAAATGTTTCAATTTTTTCAGAATATTTTTGTTTTTCTAAATGAATACTTCAGTGAAATTTACTCAAATTTCTGAAATGTTTTGGAATAATCAAATCTGCGTATTTCACCAATTTCTACACCATCCTAGATAGCTCTGTATATGACCATAATCTTGCAAACACTTGTGCATGTGTGTACTTAACTTTAGTGACTAGTTCTACTGACTTCAATCAAACAATTTACATACTTAAAAGTAAACTAGTGCTTAAATGTTAGCAGAATCTGGGGTAAATATATAGTCATAATAGAAAAGTCCAATGGTCCATCCAGTCTTGTGTCTTGGTATGTCTGACACAAAACTTTACCAGATGCTTTAGTGGAAGTTACAGAAATCCCACAGTGGAAAGTCATGTAATGACTTTAATTATGGGCAGATTTCTTTCTAACCCACATTGGTTACTAACTAAATTAAATTCTGACGCATGAATCTTCCTCTTTCCAAAAAGAAAGGTCTTATACTAGCTACGATAACTGTGGATACATTTTCACCATCCTTATAGTATCTGTTACTTTTTCTCAACTATATCTTGCAGCAATGAGTTCCACAGTCTAGTTATACACTGTGTAAAGTACAAGTTGAACCTCTGTAGTCTGGAACTATTGGGACCTGACTGGTGCTGAATCAGAGATTTTGTTGGACCATGCAAGGTCAATATTGTCTAGCAGCATTACCAACACTTCCACTGCTTACTGGGTTCATAGTAGTAAATCAGAGCTAAATAACAGCACAGAACACTGAGAACCAGGACAGGTGGCTGTTAAAAAACATGATGGGCCCACGGGAAACTTGGCTACACCCATGAGAAGTGGACATCGGGCAAACTAAAATCATGCCGGACCATGGATGTTGCCAGACCAAAGAGTTTCAATCTGTATTTCTTTTGATCAATGTTAAATATGTTGCCCTATAGGTTTTAGGTAATGGTATGTGTGTATATTAGGAGAAGGCTGAAACAGAAGTGGACAATTTACATTCTCTTTACTATTAGTTGTTTTTATCTCTTATGTCACCTCTTATCTGTCTTCTTTGTAAGCCAAAGGGTATGTCTACACGTCATTCTTCATGCAGACATCCAAAATTGCAAATAAAAGGGGGATTTAGATATTTAAATCCCCGCTTCATTTGTAATTTCGGGTGTCTGCATTTGCAAAACTCTCGCGAGAAAGGAATGAAGTGTAGACATACCAAATAGTCCCAGTCTTTCAATATAGTGAAGTCTCTTTTTGACTCTAAATAATTTTGTCATACATCCCTGTGCCCCTTCTATTTCTTTTTTTTTCTCCAGTTAGCTGTAGGCAATTCCCATTTAATGTTACTGTACTTAAATAGGAAATTAGTTTCCAGACTCTACTGAAAAACAAGAATAGGGGGAAAGAATAACTAGACTTCCATAATTATAAATAACAAGCCTAAAATGTCAGAAGACATATTTGCACTAGTTGAGCAACAATTCTTTCCCAATGCCTCCTTATATTTAATAAGATTCATGTGTTTTCCCACAGCACTGCTTGTACTAAAAATCCACAGTGATTGGAACCATCCTGCTCAAAACATGAAAGAAAATTAAGTCGATTCTCTGCCTAAACAAAATGTCACAGAATTACTCTAAAGAATTCACCTATTTGCATTTTAATAGAAAAAATGAGAACTTCCACGCAGTGTGCAGCGGCGGTCAAAAAGGCAAACAGGATGCTAGGAATTATTAGGAAAGGGATAGAAAATAAGACCCAGAATATCTTACTGCCCCTGTATAAAACTATGGTACGCCCACATCTTGAATACTGTGTACAGATGTGGTCTCCTCACCTCAAAAAAGATATTTTGGTCTTGGAAAGGGTTCAGAAAAGGGCAACTAAAATGATTAGGGGTTTGGAACGGGTCTCATATGAGGAGAGGTTAAAGCGACTGGGACTTTTCAGTTTAGAAAAGAGGAGACTGAGGGGGATATGATAGAGGTATATAAAATCATGAGTGGTGTGGAGAGGGCCGATAAAGAAAAGTTATTTATTAGTTCCGTAAATAGAAGAACTAGATGACACCAAATGAAATTAATGGAGAGCAGGTTTAAAACTAATAAAAGAAAGTTCTTCTTCACACAGCGTGTAGTCAACCTGTGGAACTCCTTGCCAGAGGAGGCTGTGAAGGCTAGGACTATAATAGAGTTTAAAGAGAAGCTAGAGAATTTCATGGAGGTTAGGTCCATAAAAGGCTATTAGCCAGGGGATAAAATGGTGTCCTTGGCCTGTGTCTGTCAGAGGCTGGAGAGGGATGGCAGGAGACAAATCGCTTGATATTGTCTTCAGTCCACCCTCTCTGGGGCACCTGGTGCTGGCCAGTGTCGTCTGACAGGATACTGGGCTAGATGGTCTGACACAGTACGGCCGTTCTTATGTAGTACATGGTCAATCTAGTTCAAAAAAAGTAACAAACACACTTCCCACTTGATAATAATTTTATCAGACTAGGTTAGATGCAGTTTTAACCATGTGACTATAGAAGGCAACTCAAACTAAAAAACAGTGTACTTTTCTGAAATATAATGGTAACAGTTATAATTTCCTTTACCTCTGTTTTTAGACATAGCTTTAAGAAGCACCCTTTGAGCCCCTTATCTTTATAAACTATTCCACCATTTCAACGTTCACAGTTTCTTATGTTACATCAGAATATTATTGCAGATAGCTAAAAGATCTAAGTAATTAATATACGAGATACTGAAATGAAAAGTACTTGATCCAAACCTCAGAAAAATATTGCAGACTTTAAGGAATGTTAATTTCTGTATACCTCACACTCTCAGTCCCCTAGTGTCTGGGTTTTTTTAATTGCTTTCAGACTTTCTTCTCTACAAAGAGCGAGAAAAACTGACATAAGATCAAAGATCACAAGGCATATTTCACAAAACCTATATTAAACAACTAATAGAGATAGAGGCTGAAGGTCATCAAACTTATCTGTGTCTGAAACAAGGTGGACTGGATTCAGAACATGAGCAGGGATACCATGCTCAATAAAAATAACTGTGTTATCACTAATTTAAAAAAAAAAAAAAAAGCTAGTTACCTAAGAACTCTGCCTTTCAAGAAAGCAAATATGGAACTTAACCTTCTCCAAGTTCTTTAAATGTTATGCCTAACATTTTAATGTGTTATTTTTTAATTATTTTCCCAGGTACTTCTGATAGCTTGATATATTACAGAAAGATTTCACTAAAGCCAGACAAGTAGCATTTATGCAACAGATTTTATTTTATTTTACTGCATTATACTGGTCATCCGTTTAAGACTGTCAATTGTGAAGTTACAACTTTCCTAACAACTTACAACTAACTTTTTTTTGTTAGTCTATAAAGTGCTACCAGACCATTTGTTGTTTTTTTTCCTGTAACGGACTAACTCAGCGACCCCCTGAAGCTCCTAACTTTCCTCAAGGGATTCAAACAATTGTTTTCCATATGGGTAATATGGGAAGAAATGTTGAGAGAGCAAAACTGTTGTTTTTCAAATAAGAATAATTAAAACAATTATTGTTGGTGTCAAAGCAACCACCACATTTTGTTTGTTACCTGGAGTTCCAGCCAAAGCAGCTTTTGCTCCTGTCAGTGTCAATAAGCCTCCTTCTTTCAGATGTTTTGTGGCTAAGTGACTGGAAATAGTTGATGTCCAAACACTCTGTTTCCACATCAGGTCAGAATTTTTGTATAAAGCTGGAAAAACAAAATACAGGTTGAACCTCTCTAGTCCAGCATCTTTGGGACCTGACTGGAGCCAAACAAAGGATTTGCCCAACCACAAGAGGTCAAAGTTCTCTAGCAGCATTACTGTTTACTGGGTTCTTTGAAGCAGTTAGGAGTAAATAAGAGCTAAATAATAGCACAGGACACTAAGAGCCAGGACTGGTGGCTGTAAACAAACTTTATGAGACCCTGGAAAACTTGGACACATCCGCGATAAGTGGCCAACTAAAATCATGCTAGACCACGGATGTTGCCAGACCAGGGAATGCTGAACTAAAGATATGTCTACACTAGGGACAAGGTAGAATTACGATACTCAATTTCAGTTACGTTAATTGCGTAGCTGAAGTTGAAGTACAGGCAGTCCCCGGGTTACGTACAAGATAGGGACTATAGGTTTGTTCTTAAGTTGAATTTGTACGTAAATCGGAACTGGCTCCAGATTCAGCCGCTGCTGCTGAAACTGACCAGGGGCTGACTACAGGAAGCCTGAGGCAGAGTTGCTCTGCCCCCAGCTTCTTGGAATCAGCCACTGATCAGTTTCAACAGCGGCTGAATCTGGAGCCTGGGACAGAACAGATGGGGGGCTGCCGGGTAGGTCCCCCCAGGACCAACCCAGCAGCACCCCAGCTGCTCTACCCCAGGCGTCCACAACAAAAACCTGAGCAGACCAGGGACACCCAGAGCAAAGCCGCAGAGGCGGGGGGTCCCGCGCCTCTGCGGCTTTGCTCCGGGTGTCCCTGGTCCGCTGGGCGGAGTCCCTAGCAGACCAGGGACACCCAGAGCAAAGGCAGCACAACAGGGAGACCCGAGCAAAGCCGCACA